AATAATATAATAAATATTTGAGATATATTTTAATAAATAAATTTATATAATATAAATTTTTAGATTGATGGGTTATAAATATTTGGGTTAATATATGTGCCATAGATAGATCTATAAACTTAATATACTTATATAAAAAGTAACCCTTGATAGAGAATACACTTAATGTATGTCCTACAGATCATAGATCAATAAATTTTTACTGAACGGTGGAGAGAATATACTTCTCAGTCTTACATGTTTTATTATAAAAGAACAACAATTTGCAACGATATTCTGTTCTGTACTTTTCGAAATAGGTGGCGCTTGTCAGTAGGGCTAGTGGATGCCTCTTCATTTTGAAGACGTACATTGCATTGGTCTACTTAAACAGGAACCTTGTCAGATCATATAATCCTGCCCCTAGTCTTTTACCATATGATTTTTTTTTATGAAATTTTTAAGAGAAATTAATTACAATAGTAATCGATTATTACATTCATATATAATATATTACTAAATAATTAATTATTAACAATTAGACAAAAAATACGTAATCAGAAAACAATTTCAGGAGGATCGTGTTCATATACTAATTTATATTATATAATTATATAGCATAAACACTTTTTACATTATATTATTAAAAAAAATTTTGCTTGAAATTCAATAATTTTAAATATTAAAATTTTTTTAAAAAAATATTACAATGAGATATTATCTCATACACTTACATCTAAAATGCAATCTTGTTTAAATTTATAAATAAAATTGAAATTCACTTTATTATTGTTTTTATTATTTATATTTTACTGTGCAACTGATATCTATAGATATTTAAAGTAAAAAAATATTTTTAAATACATAAGAAATAAAAATTACTATTTATATATAATAAAATATATGATTTTACTTTTATATAGAATATTTACATTTAAATATATACCTCATATTTCACATTTTAATTATTGATACTTTTGAACATATGATTATATTTACACCCAAATATAGTTTTTTTTTTTTACATTTTGTTTGAATTATTATTATTATTATTATTATAAAAATGGATGGAAATTTTTTTGTTTGACACTTCATTTTTATTATTTTTTGTGAGAGCAATACAAAAAATTACAAAAATTTTAGTACTTCCTACATACATAAATGTAGCTTTTTAAAAATTGAGTGGATTCAATTGACCTCAAAAATTATATGTGGTTATATCACTAAATCAAACTTCCGTATAAAAAGATTTGAATCTAAAATTTAAAGATTTTAAGACTTTCTCTTTATCTTAATATTATGTTTGGATTAAGGGGAAGGAAAGGAAAGGAAAATAAAAGAAAGTAATGGAAAAAAATTATTTTCTTTTATAAATTTTAATTTAAATGAAAAGAAAAAAAAGTGAAAACTCAATAATTTTTTATTTTTTTTGTAAATAAGTTTTCAACTCTTTTTTTTAAATTAAAAATTTATCCAAATAAATTTTTTTTTTTTTGTTTTCATTACTTTCTGTTATTTTTCTTTTCCTCTCAATCCAAACATAGTATAAAATAAAATCTCATCGATTAGGCTATCTTTCTCTCTCTCTCTATATATATACACGTGTGTGTGTGTTTGCCTATGAACTTAGCGGCTCTTAGTTTAAATTGTTCAAATTTAATGATCACATTAAAAAGGAATTAAAGAAATGAGAGAAAACTCAATCCAAAATTTAAAATATCTAATTTAAAATCTGAAATTTATTTTTATTAATTTATATAATTATTTTTAAAAAATAAGAAAGTAAAATTTCAAAATCTGGAAAATCCTAACCGACAAGTTATGGTTTCTTTGTATAAAAAAGGAAAGATCGAATTTGATAACTAAAAACTAATTGTCCATTTCCCATATAAACGGCAATAAATAATTGGCTCAACAGTTTTGATTTTGAACCATATTTGGTTCTTCGTCATACGATTAAATTCAAACCACAAGTTCTGGATCAACAGTTGTATATATATACTTGAACTTAATCCTAAATAAATGTTTTCCCAATTTATTATAGTAATAGAGATGGATAGAGACTTACTTTTGTAATAGAGTCATTGGACCATTTGAAAAATACAAGGGATTCTTTTATGGAAATTTAAATTTTGATTACTATAATTAAAATTTTAATATTTTATTACTGTTGACACATATGAGAGATATTAAGAAGTTGAATTACTGTAGTGAATTAATCCGAAATTACCCAAATAATTATTAAGATGATGGCTTTAGAAAATTAGAATATTTAAGAAATTTGATCACCGAGCGGAATTAAGAAAAACTAGGGACCTACCTTTGCCAACGCTGCTTGTGTTTATTTTCTATGCAGTAGAAATGGAATGGTCATTTGACTCTTTAATAAGAAAAAGAAAGCATTAACCAGCTGCTATGGACCGCTCACCAACCCCCAGCAGAACATGAAGCCAGCCAATGAAGCAGATGATTAAAGCCAAGGCCTTCAGGTTGGCTAAGGGGTTAATAAACAAGTTTTTGTTTGATGGAGACTTTTGCTTAGTCTTCATCACTCGTCTAACTACCCGTTTGGTCCACCGTCTTATCCGTTTTGGATAAATATTATTTAATTGAATTAAATAATTTTTTATTTAACTTCCGATTTAAAATATATTTAATAAATTAAAATATTAATGTTTTAAATTTTTTTTGAGTTTTTGAGTTCTATGGGCCAGACCTTATTTTAAAATGCTATAGTTCGGTCCAACCATGATTTGTTGTTTTTTTATTTGGTTTTTACTTTTTGAAAATTTAATAATCTCTGTGGGTAAATCCACACCCAATGAGTGATAATTAAAGTTCTATTTGATTGCTATTAATTTTACGACTAGCTTTTTTTTTTAGTGTTAGAAATCAATAGTAAAAGATAAAAACTAATATTATAATTCATTTTAAATTGATAAATAAGTTAATGTGACACCAATTATATAATAATTGATCTATACCAAAGAAATTATATTTGAAAAAAAAAATTAAATTTAAACAAAACTTGAAGACATCTTTGTAAGAATATTAATTTTATCCAAATTTAATGAAAAATTTAAATTTTTATCCAAACGAAAATGTATATAAGTATTACATTTTGAAATAGGAATATGAACGAATATAATTTTAAAATTTATTTATTAAGTGTGAGAACAAAGATGAATAATATAGCATTTCTTTTGCATACCTATACTTATATCTTATATATATTTTTACATATTTAGTAATTAAAATTTTATTTAATAATATAAATTTTTATTTTAAATTAATTAAAAAAATATATTTTGATTTAAAAATATATTAATATTTATTTATAAAATTACATAAATATGCTAGATAAAAAACTAAAACCATCTATACCTATTAAATTCTTGCAAAGATAAAAATGAAAATGAATTTAAAATATTTATTAAATATGAGCATAAAGATATATATAATATAAAAAATAAAAAATACAGGTTGAAAATATTTTATTTGTCTTATACCCAATTTATTAATTTTTTTATATCTTTGATTGTGTTATGAAAAACTGGATGATTGTAACGGGATTAAAATTTGAATCGGTATTACTGTACCAAACTTGAGGAAGAAAAAAAATGCTTCATTTTATAAACTTTTGTTCTCCATTTTTTATGTTTTGGCAAAAATTAAATAAAAAAAGTACAAACTAAAAAAAAAAAGCAAAATATCTATCAAATAAATCAACAACCGTGTTGATTTTAGTATCAGCATGACAGGTCTGGCTGGCTACGGGCGTCACTATTACGTGATGCATATGAATGCGCGTCACGATTGCAAAGTTAGGCCTCTTGTAGGCCCAATTTTTCGCACGAAAACTACTGCATTGCTTCCTTGTTTGCGTCACAAAAACCTTTCAAGAAAAATTGGGCCCTGGTTGAAGTTAAAATTGGGCTACAATATGGCCTTGTTAAATTTGGGTTTTGCAGGCATTCATTTTTTTTAAAAAAGAAAATATATAGGATTCATTCGTATTATTTGAGAATTCTGGATTTATCCTAATAGAGTGTGTGTATATATATATATAAATTTAAAACTGCAGTCATTTTTAGTAGGTTCTAAATACGTAACTCAATGTTTTTATAAAAAATAAAATACTTAACTTAATGTCTATAAAATTGATCAAATTGATAAATATTAAATATTTAACTTGTAAAATTTAAATTCGGTTTTACCATTAATAATCCTCTTTGATGGACGCTTATAAATCCTTACAATCCGCTGAGATTTTCCCGACATGCCTTGACATTTGAATGGATAACCGCCCTTTACCTAAACTATTAAAAAAGCAAAACAAAAAAATGCAACTCAATTATTATGTAAAGGGGAAAATTAAATATAAAATGGAACGAAAATAGAAAAGAGGCAAATTGCATTAGAAAAACCCTAAAATTTTATTCAAAAAAAAGGTCGACACAGAATAATTTAGAAGCAAAGATCAAAACAGATGAGGTATACAAATTCAATATCACTGTATCATTCCGATTAATTTAAGAGTAAAGATCAAACTCAAATCAAATAAAGTATATTTTTTAGTGATAATGTCATAAATTGACTTTGAATTATACTAAAAATGTATAATGTGATATTTAAAGTTTAAAAATCTTTAATGTGATATCTATATTATAAATTTAGAGCTAAAAACATTATGAATAAATATCACATTAATTAATAAATTTATAGTTTAAATATCATATTAAAGATTTTTAAATTCAAATCATATCAAACATTTTATTGGTGAAGGATCATTTGTAATATTAATCAATTTTTTTAATGAGAAACCAACTCTGAATTGAATTGGAAAAATTTGGCAAAGATCACTATTGCGGCGGCCTGTCTGGAAAGACCACCTCTCTCTCTCTCTCTCTCTCTCTCTCTCTCTCTATATATATATATATATATATATATATATAGTGATTAAGATTATGTTGGAACTAGGAAGTAATAACATTAGACAATACTTGGACAGTGATTCGAAGTGGGGAGACAAAGATTGAGCATTTTTGAGCTCTTTATTGCTGACAAATGCCATCTGCCTGAGATCTCATGTTCATTCTCAGCAAACTACAGATGGTTTGTTACTTTGTGAGGTTTCTAGTACAATGAAAATGGAAATCTAATGAACATGTCTCACTAGAAAAGATATAACAATCAGAGATTGAATTCAAGAACCAACAAGTCATGCAGCAGCAGTGATGTACTGGATAGCCTGCTGGCATATACCGGTCATTGTAGCTTCAGGACCATAAACCTATAAGAGAGGCAGTGAAACAAAAGATATAATATCAGCAAAATTTTTTATTTTGGGGAACAATTTTCTACTTTTTTTTCCTTCTTTTATAGAGTAATCATCATTTACATCTCGTGGTTTATAAGTAGTTCTATTCAATATGGATACCTCAATAGGGATGCCAATTTCTTCTCCAAGTGCCCTCATTTTTGCAAGGCCCCTCTGGTAATTTGGACCTCCTCTCCTCACATATATGTACATCCGTGCCGCTTTGAGCTTTGATTCCTGTATAAATTTGCACATCCAATTATTCTTAATAAATAAAGGCGGACACCGAGTAAACCAAACACCAATAGAGTAAAGCTCACCTTCTCCTTCAAGGCTCGAATTATGCCGTTAAATGTAGCACCCACATCAGTAAAGTTAGCTATTCCTCCACCAATTACGAGGGCTCTTTTGCAACCATCAGGGTCTGCAGTTGCACACTGTAGAGGAATAATGAAATTATTTGTACATCCAAAATTAAATACTTGAACCAGTTCAAGGATGCATGGCAGTGAGTGCTGAAAATGTGCTCATAATGCTTATTAATGCACTGCAATTTTGCATCTGGAATTATCCGACAAATGCTTCATAGCATCTTCAACAAAAGTTAGACACAGCATTAGCTGGTCAAGTACAAGACCAAAGTTTCCACTCTAGAAACATTATAATGTGAATTAAGGGCCAGAATTCTTACATCAATTACTACTCTGGCATACTGCAACACTTCCTCTTCATTGGGTGCTCCACTGTATTCTGCGTAGTTTCCAAGCTCAGAAGCAAAGCCAAGATCTCCAACCTGATTGGGCAACAAATTATATGAGTATATTAAAATCATGACCAACAATTCAAAATCACAGGGTTTTAGTCCCTATCCTGAAAACCCTGAATGTGGAAACAAGATAACCGACCGTATCAGCATAGATGACACTTGCACCTCCTCCAGCTACCATTGTCCAAATGCGTCCCTTAGGGTTCAACACTGTAAATTTCAAAGATGCACTTGTCTGCAAGATTTTTTTAAAGTTAATACGATACTTGTGGATGAAGCTACTAAATGAACTGCAACGTAGTTTACACCACTTTTATCGGAGAAGAGTTCTTAGATGGTAAACTGCAGTAAACTAATCTTTAAGAATGAACTGAACATTCAGGTTTTCTTAGAGACCATATATATGATGAGGTGTCTAATAAAATAACTGCCATATCTGCCATATCATATACAGCTCAAGTTTCCCCTGCAACTGGGTAATTAGCAAGTAAAAGAAGATTTTGGATACAAGGCCAACCATCTATTAAATCTAGTGTACCTTCTCATCTAGCCCATGAATATAGCTTTCAGTTGCACTCATTACTCTTCCAAATGGCATTGGAAATTCTATACTACCCCACCTACATAGAAATGAAATTGCATCAGATGAGATGATGTTTATCCCTACTCCATATTACATTGAAATTACAAATAAGGAAAACTACTATATATAAAAGGAGATATACTTCTTGAAGTTCTTGAAAGAAGCAGTGTCATCCAGCTCGCCTCTCATATCCAAAGGATAAGGCTTTCCATCAACCAGTGTGAAAGGGTTCATCTCAAGGAAGGTGAAGTCAAGATCTGACATTTTGAAACTTGAAAAAGTTAATGACAAGTTTCAAATATTAATTGGAATAGTCTTAAATTCAAGACAGATATACGGCATACCTTGAAATAGAGTAAAAATTACTTTGATGAACTCCTCGATTTCTCCTCTGATCTACAATAAAAGAACATACATTTTTTCAAAGATCCAGAGGGGATTTTACTATAGACATATATATTAATTTGCTGATGTATTTGGCAAATCCATCAGATGAAGTTGTCCGTTCAAAGACAAAGGAACGGGATCAAGTTATGGAAAGGAAATCTGATGCCAGAATTTACAGACCCAAAAATACTAGCGAAACTACAATCAAAATGCAGAAACAGCACAGAAAATCATTAATTATTTGGAAAAATTACCTCCAAGGGAAGGGTTGCAACAAGTGGAGCACAAGTTTCTGAGGAGAAAGATGACCCGGTTGGGACAAATATGGTCTTAACCTATACAAAGGATACCTCCATCTTAGCCAAGGAACCGTAAGGTCAGAAAATACAAGAAATAAAGATGAACTGATGAAGAGGATTGGTTTATCTTACAATACCTTATCCCAATTCTCTTCAATTTCAATTCCTCCGCACTCTGAAAAGCTAATGCTGCAACCAAGTCTCTCGGAGACAATGTTAAGGTAGAACTCTTCATTGTGAGGGATGAAAGGTTCAACGATGAACGTTGTAACAGGTCCTTTACATCCGCCCATTTCCACCTATAGGAAACATAAACCGAACCCTTAAACTTATTAATCTCAAATAAAGGCTGTAAAATTGCAAGTAGAAACTGACTAGGAAGTAAAATGAACCTCTTTGCCTAGGCGCTCTTTCACAAAATTAATAACTTGGGCGAAATCTAGATTTAAGCCAACCAAACCACTCTTCCCACGCTTTCCGAACAACATATCAGGTTTAACGACCAGTTTCTGCGACGAAACCCATGGCTCCTTCTCTTCTAGCTCATTGAAATCAGTTGACTCCGTCACCTAGAATCAGCAGCACAACGAAACAAATCACTAACACTTCAACACATACAGTAATCATTAATCAATGACTCAAGGAAGATCAACATCTTAAATTCATGTTCTAATTTCAAATCTTCCTGATCTTGAAAGAATAATTTAAACTACTACTCAGCAAAGCAACCAAGCTTCTAGCTTTACGCTAGATCCGGAAATCTCAAAGCCAGACAGTCGTTTTAATTTTGTTTTAGATTCAGTTCCAAAAATTTTCTCATCAAACAGATAATAATAAAATCAGACTAAGAAAGGGAGATATTGATGCAGTTCGAAATGAATATGGAGATGTTAAAGGAGAAATTGAACTAACTTGAGCAGATTTGATTGGCAATTCTTTGCCGCAAAGCCTCTTGAAATGCTCCTTCAACAATCTCTTGGAATCGTACTCTCTGATCTTCTTGCGTGCCATTTCTTCTTTTTTCTCAGCCAAATTCCAACCAAATCAAAACTTCATAAACAAAAGAAACATTTTCGATTCAGATATAAACAAATCTAATAAAATGTGGAGAAAAAGTACCGTTGAAACACAAGCGAAGTGGAGGCAGGCAGAGGCAGTTGGAGCTACTACTTTAAAACTTCAAAGTGTGTTATTTCACCTCATTTCCGTTTGGTGTATTTATAGTTGCGAATTTGTTTTAGGGAAGCGTTTAGCATTTCATGTTTTATGGAATAAATTTATCAAGCTCATTGGAAACGGACACATGCGGTTACCTAACCGCTCCAGACCCCCAACCTACCTCTCAACTTTTAATAATACAATATTATAAAGGGTGTTTTATTTTAAATTCAGATTTAATTTAATTTATTTATGTAATTATTTCAAGATGTGATATTTTTAATATTTTTGAATTTGAATATTTTTAATTTTTAAATTATAATAAAAAAATTTTATATATTATTGAAGAATTTTCTGGATTTCACAAAATAAAATTAAAATGTTATTATCTGTTGATTTATTTATGAATTTTGCATCTTTTAAAGTTATTTAACTATATTATTTATAATTTTTTACAATAATATAAAATTTCATATTGGGAAACAATATTTATTTAGTATAATAAATCTAAAGAGTGTTTTTAGAACAAACGTTGATTAGATCTTTTATCAGATTAATTTAATTTTGATTGATAGATACTTCTACTTATTGTTTTTTTTTTTTTTTGTTATTTGTCTTCGATTTATTATTATAATTATTCTGTTTTATTCTTTCTATTATTTTTTATAAAATTGGTAAAATATCTATCAACAGGGATTTATTAATTATTTGAAATATACTTTAATAAAAGATAGTGACAATCCTTTAATTTTATTTGTAGAATTTAAAATTTTGATGGGAAATGAAAGAAATAATTTTCATATAATAAATTAATTAAACGTGTTGTTAAACTTTATTGGTAGGTGAGAATGAATAGATCTGCAGATTAAAATGCTGAGATCGAGTAAAGATATCAATGTCAACTTTGATTTTTTTGTACTTTGCTTTGTTTGTTTTTAAAGGTGGCGGGTGTTGCCGCCCTAATCCAGCCATAGAACTTAAGATTGTTTGAAATAATAATTGCCTATCTTAATTAAGGAAAAAGGATTTAATTTAATACATTCTCGGTATATAAATTATTATATATTATAATATTATCAGTATATTATAAATTATCACATCATTATTTATTTTAATATAATTAAATTTTTAAAACTTAGAAAATATTTATTTTTAAAAATTTTAAAATTATTAAAAAATAATGTAACAATTTGTAATAGGTTGATAGTGTATAACATTATATATTATCAGTACATTAAATATAAAATCTTTAAAATTTTGTTGTTATTAAAAATTCTACAATTAAAAAATCCCATTGCCAACTATTTTATATTTTTTAGTGCTTGACAGTTTATTTTTTATTTTTGAAAAATTTTGAAAATCTTTTTTCGTTGTTTATTATGTATTTAGCTTTTAAAGTTATATAATTTTTTTATAAAATATTAAATTCTTAATTTTAATAATTAAAATTTAATTTCAGATAATTTTAAATGAAAAAAATAATGAACTATGAACTTAAATTTTTTTTTTCAGAAAAATGAACTTAATTAAAGTTTTTCTATAAAGTTGCTACATATATAGTTCGAAATTCTTTATGACATTGATTTTTTTTTTTTTATCATAGAAACATTCGCACAGTTAACTTTCTTTCTTTTTGATACGGAACTTTGGTTGATTTTAATAATGTAATGTTAATACAGTAAAATGGATTGAATGTTTCAAAATAGTCAAACTTTCAAACAAAATTTTATAGGAAAAATTCGTGAGATAGATACTTGTTTATGTACGCCTACCCCCTGACATTTTTCTAAAAGCTCCAAGTTGAACGGCTATCATTTTTTGACCTTGTTATTAACGTTCAAATAAAGTTTAAGTTGAACTACCACTTTGTTCATACTAAAAACCAACATATATATTATAATAAATTTAAAATTTAATTCAATTGATTCATGTAATTAATTTTAAAAAATAATAATTAATAAATTTAAATTTAAATATTAATATTTATAATTTTTTTATTATCCACTTACGATTTCTTTAAAAAAATACAGTACACAATCAACGATTGCTTATTGCAGAGGAAAAAGTAAAAACAATCGCTTATTCTTAAAGCTCCAATGCTATGTTTGTCTTATGTATTTATTTATTAATAATTGAAAGTTGGAATGATATGAAATTTGATTTGGCATTTAAGCAAGCTTAGAATTGTTGGTCACTTGATTTGAACATTTCATCGGCAGTGTTTCTCCTTCTTGTTTATATATATTTATGCTTTTAAGTTTTGATCAGTTGAGTTAGTTGCAATACCATCCGATACGTTGCCCCAAATTGGCTTTAACTTTTGGGGTCGCTTGAAAGGATCTATCGTTGGTCCTTTTTTCTTGTAACTGCATAAAACTTAAAGATGCCCAATTCCCTAAAGATTTTAGGTTTGGCCAAAATGATAGATCGAGAAACGAAGACGCATTATAATCGCTAAGAAAAATGAAAAGAATGAGAAAAATGTGAGGAAAGAGAAAAAATAAGAAAAAAAAATTAATTTTTGAATGAAGGGTGAAAAATAGATTATGATTTGCATATAATGATTTTGTGTTTTGTAAAATATTAAAAATTTTATGTGACAGTAATTTTTTTTCATCAGACGTGATTAAATCATTATCTAAAAAAATAATTTAATTCTATGATAAAATATTTTATCATTTAGATAAAGTAATACGTAAATTTAACAATAGTTAATATTATCAATTTAATATATGAATTAAAAAATAATTTAATTCAAATATATAATTATTTTATATTACAAATTTTTTTATTTCAAATTAATATTCATTGTAATAAGTTAAAAAATAATTTGTGTGTTTTTTTAACTTTTTTAAAATTTTACATGTAATATAAATTTTTTGTTTGTTCTTTTGTTATAATTTTAATAAATTAATTTTATTTTCTAATTCAAAATTTTACATAATTTATATTATAAAAATTATTTTATCTGTCAATAATATATATTTTTTAATTTAATAATTTAATTATATTTTATTATAAAGTTACTAATATTTCATAAATTATTGTCTTTAAATAATATTAAAACCATTAATTTGTACAACTACTATAATATGCATAATTGTTTGATTCTTTCAAATAAAATAATATTTTATTTTTATTAATATTAAAAATAATGATATTTAATTCTTATAAATTAATAATTATTAATGAAATAAAATGATTTTAAATTATAAGTAATAATATTACTTCAGTAATAAGATCACTTTAGTTATTAAATTACTATGATAATATTGAAAATGATATCAAAATTTATCTAAATAAAATTATAAATAAAATTGTCAATTTAAATTGAATAAATGTTTTCTTTCATATTCAAAAGGATTGAATTTAAAGGAAAAAAGTGTAAATTCATTCATTTTTCATCACTTATCTTGTTTCTTTTTTACCAAACGAATAAATAGATAAAAAAAATTTTCCTTCTTTTTCTCTTTTTCTTTTTTTTTTTTTTTGCTAAACACAGCATTTGTATTAGTGTTAGTAAAAAAAAAAATAAAGAAAGCAAATTAATTAATGCAAGTCAAAATTGCCGATCCAAATCAAAATAGTGAAAAGTACTATTTGATTTAATTAAAGATTTTGCTAACAAATCATTTTGTATTGGTTTAAGATCGAGCAAAACCAAAGGCTGAAAACAATCCTTTTTTATTTTTTTCTTTTTTATTTAAAAAAAAAAAAAGGATTTGGAAACTCACCAACCTACCCCGGGTCGAAGTATGAAGATAAGAGTGGTATTGTTTGACACATGAATACGACACAACTAAATATCTCCCAGTCAACACAGCACAGCGCCATGCTTTCTGCTTGACTTGGTTTTCCAAGTTGCCTGCTAAGCATTTTTCAAAGAAACAGAATCAAATTCCACACTTGATTTCCACGGAGCCATAAATATAAATTTTCAATGGAGGAAATCAAATCAATTTTTTTTAATTATTAATCGTGACTTGAAAATGAGACTTTTGGACAAGTTACAAGTGCTTCTGTTTTGTTACAAACCCTTTGAAAAACATGGCACATTTTAAGTCTTTGCTTTGATAATTTGTAGTGTTTCACTTCAGATTTTTTTTATTTTTTTGGTTTCACAAGCTGCCTGTGTTGACATTTAGGTAGCGTTTGGTACTTATCATCAATTAAATTGTAGAGAATGTGATTGTAGGAAATTAAAATGCTGAGAAGATGATATTGCGGCGTTTAATATATATGGCAAAGTGCTGATTAAAATGCAAAAAAAGGAGCATTACAGTGTTTGGTAAATTACCATAGGGAATATAGTGTAAAATTTTCCAAATTACCTTTATGTATCAAAATAAATTATTTATCCAAAATAACAATTTTGATAATAATATTTGTATTTAAATGAGAATTCCATACTTTTAATAAATTTATATTCACCATCATTGCAATTTGGAATATCCTTTCATTGTGTGAACTAATAACATGAAAAGATTAAGATAGTTTAGATAGCATTAACGAAATTAAACAAAGAGATAGCATTACATAAAGGTAAACAAAGGTTCAAACCTTATAAAATAAAAATATACATAACTTCCTACTATAGCTAAATTATTTTTCATAATCTACACAAATTATGGTCAAAATAATATCAAAACAAAATGCAATTATTAAGTGGCACCAATAAAAATTGGAATATTGATTTTGAATAATTTCTTCACTTTGATCATTTAATTATCTCTTGCGGTGGCTAACATTCTCAACAATTGGTATTTCTCTACTATCATAATCATTTATTTTTCAAAATTGTATAAAAGCTTGTTAAGCCTGAGTTGTATTAAAAAATGATTCATGGATAGTTTCTCTAAAATCATGAACTTATATTAATCTTTTGGCCGAGTTTTATAAATTTTTGGTTTATATTCAACGTACACTATGTACGTCTTTGCCATATATAATAAAAGCAATAATATGAACTTTCAAATGAAATTTGATAAATAAATCTAAATTGTTTGAAATATGCTAGTGATTTTACCATTGATTTGGCTTTCAAGTATGTTCAATTATTTTTTCTTTGGAGATCAGTATGAGCATAACAATCAAACTGAAAAACAGGGGAACATGATAGAAAAGGCAAAAAACACCAAGCAAGAAATCAACACAAAGTTTATTACACATTCAAACTTAATATAAGAAAAAATTGACACAGTAATCAACAAAGACACAACAAGTGATATAACATGCATGAAACAATCAATATAGTAAGGAGACAAACGGGCTATGCACAACAACGTAATTTCATTTACTAAATAATTTAAAATAAAAAAAAAAAAGCAGCAAAAAAAAATCAACAAACCTAAGTTTATTTTTGGAGTTTAGGGGTTTCTGGCTTTTGAAATCTAGAGTTTGTTTCTGTTCTAGGTATTATGATTGGTTTGTGGTTTTTGAGTTTTTCAAGTAACAATCAACATACCTAAATTTAAAATCAACACACTCAAGCTTTAAATCTACATATCCAAGCTTTCAATCAATAGATCCAAACTAAAAATAATAGAACCAAGCTTAATAGATCGACAACAACAACATCCTAAACCTTAAACAAAAAAAAAAATGAAAGACCTACAAATCTCGCTGAAAGACTAGAAGTTGAGGCGACAGCAACAAGTAAACCTTAGCAATGGGAGTGGAGGCCCACCAATAGAAGAGTAGAGGAGAGTAAAACTGAAACAAGCAGGAAAGGAGAGTAGATTGCAATGGAGAAGAAAGGAAGAGGGCAAAGTGGTCGAAAGAAATTTTCTAACTTTGCCAAGTAATTGCAAAGTTATTTTGCATAGGTTTTTGGCTGCAATCAAATTGCATCTCCAACAGCAATCTCATTGTAAATGTAATCTTCCGTTGCATTGGTTCCCAAACACTATAATGTGATTGCATCCAATTAAATTGCAGGGAATGTGATCTACTTCCTTGATACCAAACACCATATTAAGATTATATTCCCCATTGAAGGGAAGAACATATATCTCATGTAGCAATGTCTCCGTATGGATAACAACAAAGTTATTAGGGAAGAGTTAAAGAACCTCCAATAACTTTTATCAAGGAAAAGGATTTACTTCAGATGAAAGAATTCTAACCCCAGGATATATTTTATTAATGACATGTAAATTGCACACTCTAGGATGTTTAAATTTCTAAATATATTATGCAAGTCTAATATGGAGCTTATTTATGTTAATTCATGTAATCACTTTATTAAATGGCATCCAACTGATTTAAAATTTAAATTTCAATACTTATAATTAGAAGTATTCATGAGTCAGATTAAATCAGATTCATGCTGATGTCATACTTGGTGATAATAGTTTATATGCTTTGTCCAAGCTCGTACTGACATGAAGTTTTAGACTTCAAAATTTTTTAAATTCGGTCCAAATTAAAAATTTTTTTTCAAATACATCTATTAAACTTAATTTATATAATAAAAATTAAAAAAAAAGTGGTTAAATTAAGTTTAATGGGATTTTTTTTAATTCACATATATCAAAATTAAAATTAAAAATTATATAAAAATAAAAATTAAGTTTAATAAAATATATAATTTTTAATTTTAATTTATATATACATGAATTAATTTATATATAATTCATATTATATAAAAAAAAAATTTTATATATGTTTGAATTTGAGTTGGGTTGGATTGGACTCATGCTTTTAATTTTTCACCTAAGACTTGATCCCACCCAAAATTTAAATCGGTCTAAAAATTGTGTCCAAGCTGTTTAATAAGTTTTAATTTTTGATTTAAATCATTTTAAAATTTGAGCAAAATTTCAAGTTTGGATAGATAATCCGACTCTTGAACAGGTCTACCTAAAACTATTTCTCTTATCTTTAAGTTGCACCAAAAAGTAAATATACTGTGCAAGTTGAACCAACAATCTTGGATGTTTAAATTAAAAATCTTCTATATTTACCATGTCAGACAAGAGTCTCTAGACAATTACAAATTCAATCATATATTGATATTCCACTTTCAAGAATAATTAGTCACCACCAAAATGAGAAGACACAAGATTTTAATAATCTTCCTGCTACCTGATAGCATGTAGTAACGGCTGGTGTTAACCCCGATCTCAACACCAGCAATCTCTCTTCTTACCTCAGGTTTCGATGAGAATCGTGGAATGACCTTGATAAAGAAAAGCCCTTGAGTTTAATTATTAAAGCAAAGATGCAATGCATTGGCAGTGCATCAGTCCTAATCCCATGTACCTGTTCAGTCCAAGATATCAACAGAAATGGTAAACATGTTAGCAGGAAATAACTAGTGCGAGTTAACTTCGATACTGAGAAAATCATCATAAGTTACTGACAGGAAATAGCAAAAAAATAAATATACAGTTGCTGCCATCCTTCCAATTACACCATTGACTGATATAAACAGCACAAGGAAGTCTAAATAACTTCAGGATGAGACAAAGTTATTACCCATCTATTTCATTCTATTCAGATACATACAACTTGGTAAATGCAATAACTTTGGGTTGACACAAGAAGCACACGCCTCAAATAAAGTCTTTCAGAGATGCCCCATTTGGGCCAGAGCCCCCAATTTGTCACTGGATCCATTACTCCTAAGAACCCAACAACTTCAGAAACCAACTGAAGCCTACTAAATCTTTGTGAAATACCAAAAAACCCAATTTCTAAATCAAAGTAAATTCCATTCGAAGAATTGCCACTTCAAATGGTTTCTTAAATGCATAAAAGAAAAAAAAAGATTATGTATGTATATGCTTCATACCAAAACATAACCATAGTGATATTTAGAAAAAGATTAAATGTGTACCATAAGAGAATATGAGGATGACAAGTCAGGAAATGGGTATGGCCACCTGTGCCATAATATGAGAATAAAGCCTTTCACCTAAAAAAACAAAATAAAAAAAGGGAAAAAGTATAGAATAAACTAATATTTTAACTAGTAGAAAACACTGTAAAACATAAATATGGCTTTAGCAAAGGTTAACACAAGCATGGATGATCTATCGGAAAACAAGTTTAGACGTCCATAAAACAAAATATACAAGTCGAAACAAAGGGAACCGCTGCAAGGAAAAAGGTAAAATTAGCTTAGTAATTGATTGGAAGATATTGGAAATGAAGTGCCATGGGGACTGTTAAAAATTGTAAACTTACCATGCAATTCAAAATTGTGTCACCAAGTAGGAAAACAGCATTGATTGAATGCATACAGACAATCAGCTGCAGTTGAAAGTGCGGACCTAAATCCCAAATAAAAGATGCCATGCAAATAACAGGAGCAATTCAACTCTTCCGACATGAGAAGCTAAACGGCAACCGGTGAAAACACAGCAATGTCTTTGAAAGGTGTCCATATTCATGGAAACGCTCAAAGATTAGAAAATAAAAAAAAAATTTTTGAAAGAAAAATTTGTTTGGACACTATTTTCCTTGACAGAGTAGTTCTTAAGTGTACTTTGTAAACTTTGAAATGGAAGAACTATCAACGCTTTAGATAATACGGTAATAGATTTGCAAGCGGAAAACGATTGTTTAGTCACATATATTGAAAACAATATATTAATAGTATTAGTAATAATATAATTATATATGTATTTAGTGGACAAATTGTAATAATATGGTAATATATTATGAGTTAGTATTTGATTTGGTATAATGTTATTAATTTCATAAACGGTGCTAAGAGATTGATGTATATCTCATTTATTTTTTTAATTAAATTTTATTTTTTAAATAATTAAATTATTAAATATATTAACAATGTAATTTTTTAATTTTACAAACAAAATTAATAAGATGACATATACTTTTTAAAATATATTTACAAAAATAAAAAATTAATTATAATAATAGGACATATATGATCTTATTAATTTTGCTTGTGAAATTAAAAAGCTCAACTGGTAATACATCAAATAATATCTCTTGTAAGTATACCTCTTTTAAATTTAGTTGTGGAATCTAAAAGCTCTAAAGACACTGAATAAAATAATTTTTCATATAATATTAAAAAAATTTCTTTATAAATTTTTTATATTATAAACTGCTTCTCATAAAAAATTTGAATCCATCATGGATAAAAATTTTAACTTGAAAGTATCATGGAAGCAGTTATCTCTAAATTTATATCTAAATATTGTATGGAGAGAAAAATTTTGTTTACTCATTTATTAATATAATAATTTAAGCCACAGATTTCTTTGTGTAAAAAAAAAAATCAAATGAAAACAAAGAGTATTGAACAATATTGATATTAAAAATAAATAATGATAAGAAAAATAACTAAGGCACATATTCATGCATTTACCACTTTATAATTGTTGGTTTTTTTTTTTTTTTTTTCAATGTGATCAAAAGGCAATAACAAAGCGAAAAGTAATAAGAAAAAAGGTCGGAGAAAGACCTTGATATAAACAATCGAAACTTTTTTACGAGGAAATATTTTGGTTGTAGAAAAAGATTTAATGAACTAAGAAAAAAGGGGCAAAAAAAAAGATGAAAATTGAAATTGTAAAACATCTGACGGGTTCCGCACCCGCAACAGCATCACGACGCGTGAACTTGCACAACACCGCCTTTACATAAAACCTAACCCTAGCAATAAAATCCCAATATAAATTTTCCCCTCTTCACGTCAGTCCCCAACCCCTCTTCCCGGCCGCGCCACCCAAAGGCTGCAACCATGCAGATCTTCGTGAAAACCCTAACGGGTAAGACCATAACCTTGGAGGTCGAATCCTCCGACACCATCGACAATGTGAAGGCCAAGATCCAAGACAAGGAAGGCATCCCACCGGACCAGCAACGCCTCATCTTCGCCGGGAAGCAGCTCGAAGACGGCCGAACACTAGCGGACTACAATATCCAAAAGGAATCCACCCTCCATCTGGTCCTCCGCCTCCGCGGAGGCGCCAAGAAGAGAAAGAAGAAGACTTATACGAAGCCCAAGAAGATCAAGCACAAGAAGAAGAAGGTGAAGCTCGCTGTGCTCCAGTTTTATAAGGTGGATGATTCTGGAAAAGTGCAGAGACTGAGGAAAGAGTGCCCTAATGCGGAGTGTGGAGCTGGCACGTTTATGGCTAATCATTTTGACAGACATTACTGTGGCAAGTGCGGCTTGACTTATGTTTACCAGAAGGCTGGTGGTGATTAGCTTTTTCTCTGGGATTTTCTTGTAATTGTTACGAGATTTTACATTTGATGTTTTGGTTTTAGTTTTAATAGTACTTTTTGTTTAATTTAGTTCCTTGAAACGGATGGTAATGGTTGGAAATTTGAATTTTTAGATGCTTGATTAGATATTGATATATGTCAATTTTCTGTTAATGTGGTTCCTTCATCTTGTTTCTTTGATTATTCTTCTAATTCTTTGTGTGTTTGGAATGGTGATTGTAACGATTTCTTTGGTTAACTTTTAAATGTTTGGTTTATATTTGATATGACATAGAAAGTAGTTTATATGATGATGATGATATTCTATGATCCAATCGAATATTGGGGATAGTGAATTGGAGCAGTTGAAGTTATTTGCATTTCTCAATCTTAATTGAAAAAACAAGAATACTAGTCCAATAGCTGCTTGCGGAAATGACTTTGTCCTGCATGAGCCTCTGCATTTGGGATCTGGCTATGAGCTCAAGTTAATTACTTTCGAAGAAAATGAAATTCTTTTGTTGCTTCTTTGCTTGTCTAGGAAGTAGGAACTGCTGTCATTCTCTGTATTTCGTTTTAAATCATGACAGGAAGAACTTTGGCTGGCCAATTAAAGGATGTTATGTCAAATGTGTTCTGATCATACTAACTTCCCATCCATGTTATTATATGAAGATTTTTTGGTAGAATATGGATGTTTCCAGGCATAGTTTTTCTTTAATCATAGCCTGATCATAATGCCAGATTTCTTTAATCTGACACAGGTTTTAGTTTTAATGTTTCTTTCCATGTATACTTGTGTATCATTCATGTTTGTGTGACTACTTGTGGACAATGATTTGCTTATCAAGTTGCTGTAGTTTTTGAAGGAATGTCTGTGTCTAAATATGCAAATGTTTTCCTAGTTGTGCCTAAGTAGTCGTAGATCAGGGTGTCCGTAGCTTGTAAGAGTTCGACAAAATGTTCCAAGTCTAGAAAAATCACCTTCTAAAATAGTTGGTACTACTATTGGATGATGACCTATTTTGAAACTGGAAACATGGTGTTAATATGCAGCTATCTCTTTATGAGAGAGACATTACAAATATTGGTTGTGGTTTGCTTCTGAGTTGCTGATGAATTTTTCTAGAGATTTACAAGCTAAGTTATTTTTCATCTGCTGAATGATCAATGAAGTTGGCTATTTTCAAGTAAAAAGGATCCCTGTCTTGAGATTGCATCCAAATTGAGCCTAAATATTCTAGTTTGGCCATGTAAGCATCTCTGATGAACTTGTGGGCTTGGTGTCATTGTGGCTGTTTGTGTTGACATCTCACCTGCGCTGATGCTAAACGTTTGTTGAATCTATTCTGTGCTATTAAAATGCTCAAACTTTTAATATCATCATCCCTCTCGAGGTGGAGAGCATGGGAAAGATGTTACCTGGGTTACAGTGCCTTTCACTTGTGATGAAAATAAAATGGTGGTGAAATGTTTCCTTAACTAATGATCAGTCTTGGCCTCAGGAGTCTGGACAAATGGTTTTGGAGAAAATTTTCTAGTGATTATAAGTTCGGTGACAAAATCTGGAATCGATATTTGGCTTGGCTAGGCATTGACGTAGGTATCTATGTCGATGATTTAAAATATTTCCTTCATTTGTCACCTTGGCAAGGTAAAAATGCCTGATTAGAGATCCCCTGGTTAAGGCAAAAACAAATAGGACTTACTTGGACAATTACTAGGTAAAAAAGAAAAGAAAAATACACATGCAATGACAAAAATAACACAATCGTTCCATCTATATATTTATCCAACAATAACTTCCTGATGCTTGTTGATTCCTACCAAACAATCATTGGTAATTTCTTCCGATCATAAATTTGGATGTTTATCCTAACTGTACCTTCATGTTCATGGTAAGAACTGTTCCCTCAATGAGTCAATGTGAGTTTTACCATATTTCAAAATCTTGTTTTGCATTATTAGTTCATTCAGCTGTCTCAAATATTGTTTTGTGGGAACATCGCGTGCGAGCAAATGGGGTGAGACAGTCAACAACAGAGTGAAGTGAAAGTAAGGAAGGAGGGGTGAAATGGGAATGTAAATTGGAAAATGGGTGAGTAAACGTTAGCATTAAGAATGATGCTAGTGCTACCAGCAAAATAGTTAAAAAGGGTTGCCATGTAACGGGAACAAAGACAGCAGGGAAAGTTGAAGTAAGGCATTGCTCATTGTCGATCAAACTTACCCTCTTTGAGGAAAGGCAAATCCTGAGATGCCTATTTTCCTTCTCCATACACTCTTCTAGAAACTTCCTCTACACCCAAAAATGGTAAAACTCTTTTGCTTTCAGTTTCGTGGGGAGGAATTGAGGGCTCAAACAGACAGAAGACTAAATAATACAGAAAACAACACATGAAACCAACAAGCTCGAAGCCTCTTTTACTAACTGGCTATAGAACTTCGAACCTTTGGGCAAACATCAATATCACTTGACTCATATCATGGAATTTAGTGGGCTTGTAGTTCAAATTTCAATACTTACAATCACTTTTTTATTTTCAGTCTACTATCTCCATTTTATAATGAAAAATACCACACTAACTTGAAGTTCACTATTGTTTCTAGCAATTTAATTAAAGTGTGAATGACAACGTTGACAAGCTGGCTAGGAGTACTGTCAGGAAATGAATTGGCAAGAAAGTGAATTTTCTTCATTTTTTTTTCTTTAACCTTTCTTTTAATTTCTGAGAAGAGAGAGAACAGGGGAGGGGGGGGGGGGGAATAGGGTTTGGAAAAAATTGCTCATACATAGTTTCATAATGAAAGTAGTAGGTGTTGCCGTATTGGCAATAAGGATCTGCCATATACGTTTGATATATCATTCATTGTTCCATGAATCAAAGTACTTTTTTTTTGGTTAAAACCAATAATTAAAGCATAGTGTTTAAGGAATTAGTTGTTTAAGATATCAATAAAAGGAAGGTAATCACTGTAATTAGTGTATTGTACAAGCTATAAATCCCACCTCCCTCGAAGCAGAAACACACACACACACAAAAATTTTATATATATATATCATCCTTATTGTAATCACCCAAAACCTTCTCTCTTTCCTTCACTTTCTCAAACACAAAATCTCAGAAACAGACGACCCAACAAAAAGAAGTGTCAACACTGAATCATCTCTTTGATCTCTCTGAGCAAATTTGCTATGTGCAATGTGGTTTCTGCACTACCATTTTACTGGTAACACATTCTATATAAGTTTTTCCCTCTATATATGTATGTTAAAGTCTCTGCACTCTGCTCATGTAATTAGCCTTTCAAGAGTGCAGGTAAGTGTCCCATGTAGCAGCTTGTCCATGGTGGTGACAGTGAGATGAGGGCACTGCACAAGCCTTCTCTTAGACAATCTGATGAACGCCTCATTTGTCCCACTCCAGCTCCTAGCTTCCCTTGGTCGTGATAATGAGGTGTAAGTATATGCTTCGCAGGGTTTTTGGCAATTAGGTTCCCCATTGCTATCAGCAGCTAAGTTGACTTAATTTCTTTTGTTGTACTATTACTTCATCAAATTGCAAACCTAGAAATTTTGTCTTTATACACTTAAAAACTTGCTAAATAATATAATTTATATCGATAAGTTGTGTCTTTGGTATACTTAGTATGCTCTAGTTAATCATATGATCATTTAATTAGATGATTATCAATACCATTAAAAGTTTGTATATGCTTTCTCTCAAGCAGCCAAAAGAAGGAGAGCTTTCCGAAGAAGTGGCTGCCCCTAGGAAAACCTCAGACAGGCGCAGCCCACCACTGATGACCTCTTCCGACAATGAAGAAGAAGAAGATATAGTCCTTGTGAATCATTCTAATACTAGTTTAGTCAAATTTTACAGCCCCATCCGTTAGCTTATAATCTCTTCATCAAGTAATAAGAATCCATCTCTATTTATGAAAAAAAAACAGGTTTTTTGACTTAATTAGGACAATATTACCATATATAGATTCATTGTTGGTGGCAGAGAAGAGATTAGGAGACTAAAAGCTCAAAATCCCATCATTCCACAGAAAGAAGCCTTCAGCACTGCTGCAAAAAATCTAAGGTCTAGAACTAAAAGGGATCAACAAGACAAACCAATTCTTTCCTGGACATATAGGGATGTCATCTGATTCCTGATACATGTTCTAATATTTCAGTGGGCCCACTTTCCTCCCATGCACAAAAAAGGAGAGGAAGGCCTACAGGATGATGGAGAGGCATCACGGAACTCAGATGCTACAGATCAGGTTAGCTTTCTCTCTGATACCTATTCGTTTCTACTAAAGAATATTTCTGATATATAATTTTATTAATTATTAAACACAAACCAGTAAACTTCAAGCTCATTCAGCGTCAAAACTGTGGTAGAGCCGCAGAGGGAGGCTAATCAATTCCATTAGGAATATAGTAGTAGCTATAAATTTGGTTGAACTACCAATAGAGCAAGAGAAGTACTCGTTAATTATGAATGTATGTCACTATAGGACAAGTTCGAAAGATGCAATTCCTTATTTTATTCAACTTTATGACATTGTTCATTCATGGCGCAGCAATTATCTGTGAATTGATCACCGCGTACTGGATATATAATTAGATTTCATCGTGACCATTGACAACAACCCTTCACTCTAATCATATCTGATTCAAACCATGCATCCATTTAAAAATATCTAAGGATAGAAGGGCTAAAATGTGAGTTCCCAGGGTACTATAGGAGGTATAAGTTATCATTAATTACACTGCGTTGATTAGTAAATTCATGGATGTGTTCATGCATGCTCTTGCATGTGGCTCTGCAGCCTTTGCACGCATATGCTTCTTCCATATTGCTGCAGCCTGGACAGGTACCTTCTTTTCATTCTGTGGGAGAAAGTAATTAACTAGGCTACAAGCAAGGGAAGAGTACCACTAATTATAAACGGTTCATTACTCAAAGGCCCCCCATTTCTAAGGAGATAAAAAGGATTGGCCTCACTTTACAATGCTCAGAGCACATAATCCTGGAGCTGACATTAGGAGAACTGAGAGTCGTGAGAGTGATAATTGGATTTTATCCTATTAAATTAATTTCACGAAATGCAAAGCTAGTCATTTTCTTGCAGTTCAACGCTTCAACTACTACATGTCCAAAATTTAATAAGTTAGCCTTTTGGGGGGCACTTGAACACACTGTTAAGACTTCTTTAGCTACACTGAGTTTGCGGTAATTGATGGCACATAAAAGGGTGCACGACTTTCTGTTGTGACAAATTTCAGGTTCACATAGAAGTCAATGGTTTCCATGAAAGCATAGCCGCAAGGAATTCCATAAGGACCAAGTACTCCCTTTGAATGAAGAAGAAAGCCCTAATTTTAATACTACAAAATTTCTTCTACTACTACTACAACTTCTTTAGGGTTAAGTGATACTATTTATAGCTAGGTTTCAAAGTCATTTACCTTATTTGCGGGAGACGCTCTTTCGGAATGAGGCCTTAACTGCGAGCTGCATATGCTGACCCAAACAAACTTCAGTTTACAACTGGTATTTTATTAGCAAGATAGCTCTTTTCTCTATAATTTAGACAGGCCATTGGGGTAAAGTGCATTTGTAGTCTCAATCCTTTCATTTGAGTTTTATTTTAATTCCTAAATTTTTAAATTGTTTTATGATTGTCAAAAACCTTTAAAAATGGTGTCAATAAGGTCCTCTAATCAAATTTTACAAAAAAAATTACAAGTTAAGATAATAGATCCAGAAATATTATTCTACCATATTAAATTTTATTTATTAAAAAATAAATAAAATTTTTAAAATGAAATAGAACTATCATTTTGTCCTTAAATTTAAAAATTCAACTTCAATCAAAAGGCCAAAAAGGTAATTTAATTTTCATAATAATTACAAAAATTTTATTTCTTTTCAAATAAATGTATATTTTTTCATATGATAGCAATGAGCAATAATTTTGGATTCATGATTTTATTTCCTTTCTTTATTTATATTTTGTCAAATTTTATTTCACCTTTACGTATAATTTTGATCAAAGAATATAAAATTAAATCTTATTGAAAATAAAACTAGATTAAAAAAAATTGAAAGAAATGAAACATAGCTAAATGATTTTTTTAACACTTAACTAAACAGCAGTAATAATTTTAGAAAGTATTCTTTGTAAATTATTACAAGTATAACTAGTATGATTTGAAACTCTTTAACATTATGCTAACCTAACACAATTAACTTATTTACTATTACAATCTCTTAAAAAAATATTTTATTAAAAATAATTCATTCAAAATCACTTAGCAAATGAGCATAATTCTCTTATTGTTTAAGTATAGAATTATATTAAGTCTTTTAGCATATATAATCTTTTTATATGCTTTTTTTTTAGAAAATAAATATCAACCATCCAAAAGTCAAAATTATTTGAGTATGTCTCAATTTTCTCTTAAAAATAATTTCTAATTTTATTTTTAATAAGATTTAATTTTATATATTTATCAAAATTTGTAAACATTGGGAAAATAAATATCATAAAATAAAATAACGAAAGAAAATAAAATCAAAGTAACAGACCCAAAATTATTAATTTCTAATTTTATTTCTAAAAAGATTTAATTTTATATATTTATCAAAATTTGTAAACATTGGGAAAATAAATATCATAAAATAAAATAACGAAAGAAAATAAAATCATAGTAACGGACCCAAAATCATTATTCTTTTCTATCATATAAAAATATATTTATTGGAAAAAAAACAACATTTTTATAATTATTACAAAAAATTAAAATTTGCCCCTATTTTTAAGCTGCTTTTTTAAAATCAAGGGCAAAAATGATATTTTGTTTCCTTCTAAAAAATTTTATAAATTAATTTTTTTCTATTAAATACATTTAAATTATTTGGTTATGTTTCATTTCTTTCATTCTTGTTAAAAATAATTTCTAGATTTATTTTTTATAGGATTTAATTTTATGTTTTTATCAAAATTTGTAAATATTGAGGAAATAAAATTTAATAAAATAAAAAAAGAAAGAAAACAAATCAAGATAATTAACCTAGAATTATTGCTTTTTGTTGTCATACAAAAATGTATTTATTAGAAAGAAAATAAAATTTGTATAATTATTATGAAGAAAACTAAATTACTATTTTTGCCTCTAATTTTAAGTTGAATTTTTAAAATCAATGAGAAAAATGATAGTTCCATTTTATTATTAAAAATTCTAAAAGTTTTATTTATTTTTAATAAATACATTTTAGCATGATAACAAAAATTAATAATTTTTCTATCTATTATCTTAAGTTGTAATTCTGTTATAAATTTTGATTTAAAGGTTATTTTCGCACCATTTTAAAAGGTTTATAACTATTATGAAATAATTTAAAGTTTAAAATCAGAATGAAAGTCGAACCCACACAGAATTGCAATGATTAACTCTCATTCACTTCCGGTACTGTTTCTTACTTTCAAATGCCGGTTTCCTTTGAACGTGGCTCCCTGAAAATAATGGAAAAAAAAAAGCAAACTTATATCTGTATATATAAAGGGCAACCCAATGCAATGAACAGGAGATTTATATCTGTATATATAAAGAGCAGCCCAAGTTATATATGAATTAGATCAAAGTTTATGTAATGTAGTTTTTGTTTTATTGCATCTCTATGGAATATTTATCAAATTCTTAGGTATATATACATCTTAACTCTTACCCATGGAACGCCTGTAGCGAGAGAGAGCATGAAAATATGCTTGAAAGAAGTCCCTTTTCTATTTTTGTAACTCCCTCCGCATTGCAAAAGTATATTAATATCACTACTTTCTTTAGTTAAACGTTAAATTCCCAAACTTGATAGAATACTGTTATAGTATATTGCATTTTTAATCAACCTACTGACCTCTAACTGTAATGCAAGGCCAAATGCTTGCACAATGCTTTACCAATGCCTTGACATTGTTGTCGGTTCATGTGAAGAAGCAAACAACTTCTATTAGATGCTGAACCTGCAGATTTTCCCTTGCAAAACTATAAGAAAAGAAAAAAAAAAAAAAACAGTAGTAGCTAGTGACCAATATTCCTATATATATAAACTTCAACTTGATTTTTGGATATAATTACAATTGCAACCTTTAATGTAACCAAAGATTCTACTATTTGTTAACTTTGGACTTGAAAATGTAAATAGCTAGCAAAAATTTGGGAGGGATTTCACTTACCATCCTAATGTTATGTGGGTGGCAATGCAGACAAGGGAGACCCTGGTGGTTGTGATGGTACATTATTTCTCTCCAACAGAAAATGGACAAAGCAAAGAGAAAACCAAATGAAGCAAATGACAGAGTAAAAAATAACAAAGTAAAATGCAGAAAAAGCTACAATAGGAAGGAAGAGATTAGAAAATTTATAGTACTAGTAAAATAGAAAAACCAAATTGGGAAAAACGACTGTTATCCACAAATATCTGAGTGAAGGCCAAAAGAGTACGAGAAATCCAACTAATAAATTCACCTCATCTTCAGGAGCTAAGAAGAAAGAAAATGTATGTTTTGATTATCATGACGACTACCGTGGACAAAGCGCTTTGAAAACCATAAGCTAACCGATCCCTGCATTTTCCTTTCTTAGTTGGGTTAATGATCAAGTCAAGGGATGGTCAGCTACAGCGGGTTCTCTTAGATTTTCTAATTAATGAATTCTGACCCAACGATCAATGGGGGTTGCTTTGTGTGCAAAACATGAGCCACATTATGGGGTCAAATTGGTGAGTGGGGGAGAAGCAGGTCAGGGGGGCAATTAACGTATTTGCTCTACAAAAACTATTAATGTTAAGATAATAATTGAACTCCACACGTCTAACGTAAATGTCATTTGTTCTGTTTGATTTTTGGGTCAAGTCTAGCAATATTCGGAGAGCGAGGTCGGATGCCATTTTTCGGCCATTAAACCCTATGTCGGAATAAAGTTCTTTCGAGCTTCTACATTGTTTCATGTTGAAATAATGTTTCACTTGTTAATATACACCCATGTAAATTAGTTCTGACTAATTATTTGATTAATTGCATGCATACTCGTTGAAAATGAGGGAGAGGATTCTCATGACTGCCATTATTTGAATCGATAAAAATGACATTGGGCTTCCTCATCCGATCATATGACTGAATAGTTGAAACTCACATATCTTTTTGTTTTTTTCAGTTAATTTTCCTTTGTAAGGGAGCTTTTTTTTGTTGGTTGGAGAAAAATACCCACATGACATAATATTATTCTATGAGCAGGACCGGTTCCAGCGTTTTGGCTAATGTTTTTTGTTTGTTTTTTTTTTTTTTTTAATTGCGAATTTGTCACCAATAACTTCAAATTCTAACGCAGATATCGAATGGTTTGGTTCCCAGTTCCCAGTGACAGTGATTGCTTCAGAGTTGCTGTAATTTCGGGGCTTCTTTCGATTAAAGTTCCCCCATCATACCAACAGCCAAGGTCATCTCATTATTGATTTTGAAGGCTTTGATTAAAGTTACCATTCATCCTAGACTTTACCCCCTAAACACAAATGTGGAGGTGAAGGTGCAACTAACAAAAAGAACGCGTTCCCCAGGCCTACAGGATCCACAGTAAGGTGACATTCAAACAAACAGATCCCATCTACCATCAAAACTGTATGACACTTGCAATTTTGTCCAGCCCTTCCTAAAATACCGTGCTAAAGTTATGGGAATTATAATTGATCCACTAACTTCAGTTGTATCATGATCAAGGAAATTTAGTATATACCAAAATCCTCAAATTCATATAACATCCATCAATCTTTCAGTATTTCAAATACCAAGTAGGTTCACACTTACAGGGATCCATCATAGAACTAAAGAAAGCAAGTAGAATACTACTATTTAAGTCCTTTCATTTGACTAGCTTCAGACCACGGTCCACGTTACACAAAACTGAGAATCACAAACAGACACTCACACAACTGGCAACAGAGCATGCAGGGATAAGTTCTACATGTTTCCTCAACTGGTCTCTGACTTCTCCAACGCTGCAAAAATGATGCAGAGTCACTGGAAGGTGATACCAAACAAATCCAATACTAAAATGCACATAAACATGAGGAATAGAGGGAGTTAAAACAGATTGAGGGCAAGGAAGGGGGACAAAGAGAGATTACTGTTGTAGTTTAGAAGCTTCTCAATGAGGTCAACATGAGTCATAAGCATTCTTCTACAGCAATAACGAACCAAGCCCAAAGCATCAAGAGCATCTCTGCATGCCATACAAATCATAATTTATTCTCTGCAATGTCAATCTGAGTATTGAAGCCCAACTGACTACCATTAATGATAACTATGATCCATAGATCAATAATAGTGCATAAATTTAATTATAGGTCACATCAACTTGCAATACAATATTATCATATACATGTTGGTTGCTTTGATACATTTCCTTTGTGTCCTTACGGGTACACAAACTTGCACATTTCCATAAATCTATAACACTATCCAACAGTGATAATTTTGAGTTGAATCATAGTTTCAAGCACAAACTTGCACATAGAAGGCTTCTTTATAACATCAACTCAGACTTCCCGTGCTTTCAAGCAGCAACTCAGTTTCAAGTTAGATAAGACATCATGCACCCATGCTAATTCCATCCTTATAGATCAGCAGAACCAGGCACAATTTAAAAAGTATACGTTAGCAGCTGAGAGAAACCTTGGAGAACAAGGTGGAAAGTTTCTATACAAACAAGCAGGGGCCTTTTTTGGACCATTTCAATAAAATGATTATAACGCAATGGCCATCTGGTCGATCATTCAATAGAATGAACATCAATTGACAACAAGTATTACATTGTACACAGCTAAAAGTATGGGAAAACAACTCCCGACGAACAAAGGCAGGTGATGTTTGTGTATTTTGGATAAGTAGATACAAAATAACCCTAAACACCTCAAGAACCCAAATGAAGCTTCCTTAAGTGCTCCTAAAGATATCCATCAAGCAATCACAATGACAAATTTAGACCCGGATAACAACAACAAATACAAACCACAAAGAAACCATCCCAAGAAGCGATCATATCACCCCACCTCCTCCTCCCCCCCCCCCCCCCAAAAAAAAAAAATCACCAGAAGACAAGTTTCGGGCGATTTCAACATCAGATTATTCATCGCAACAATGCAGTCACTTAATTTCTTCAAAACTATTAAATAAAAGGAAGGAACTGAGATTGTTACACACCCTTCAGTATAGTCGGCCTGGAGAAGATCAAGGTAAGTATCCCATTTGTTACCAATAACCTACAAATGCCCAAATCAAATGTAGACGTTAACAGCAACAAAGTCACCAAAACCCTAAATCCACTTCAGAGGGTAATCAAAACGGAATAGAAAGAGAAGCAGTAAGAAAAATACCTTCCCGCATGTGAAGCAACGAACTGGGATAATCATCTTGTTCTGCTAGTTCTTGGTCTTGACTTTGCAGTCTACGCTCCTCTCGCGTCCTAGAGCGTTCTAACGGGGATTTTAAAGGAGATGCCGTTACACCAAATATCGCTGCTTTAAAACAACGTCGTTTTACTAATTTGTACCCCACTTTTCGTGCTTTATTTATTTTCTTTAAATGAATATTATATCTGCATTATTTACATTGTTTTTCTAAAACAATGTTCCCTCTTTTATACAAACCGATGAGTAAGGTAATTATTTGCAAATTGCAATCGTTGTTATTTTCTTTTATTATTTCTATGACTTTTGGTTTTTACTTTTTTTTTCTTTTTAAGCTTTAACTTTCAATTTAAAACTATTGCAAGAAAGTGAAATTGTTATATTTTTCTAATCATCTCTTATTTTTTTATCACTATTATTACAAGATAAAAGTTTAATCAATCAATTTTGAAAGTTTGAATTAATAGCCTTTGATGATTGGTTTATGAGTTTGGTTTTAACAACTACTTTGAATAAGTAAAATTTTAAAATATATGTGGTATTAATTAATTAAAATTATCATTTATCAAATTCATAACTGACTAACTAACAAAAATAATAATTACTTATTATTAGTTTTACCAATTTTTTTAATTATTATCCAAGCAAAAAATAAATAATTTTTATTACATAATATATGTGGTACAATACACGAATTAATTTTATTTATTTATTTATTTTATGTGTAAATATATATATATATATAATAGTTAATTTATAACGTACCTTGAATTGATTATGATTGAGATAATTATGAATTGAGATAAAAGTTAATTAAAAAATTAATTATTAAAAAATAGTAATAGAAATAGTAATAAAAAAAGCTATATATTTCTTTCATTTTCAATGTCTAATTTTTATTTAATATAAAGATAATAAAAATATGATAAATAAAAATTTTAAAAAATTATTTGTCTAAAAAATAAAAAATTATTAATTCATGACTTACCAATTCAGGATCAACATAAAGCAAAAAACATTAAACATTAAATATGATATTTAATATAATTAAGAGAAATATTAAAGAAATATTATCAATTACAACTTAATTAAAAAAACATATTAAAATAATGATTTGACAATAGTAGATCAATATACTTAGTTTTTAAAATTTATTTATTGCAAGGTAAAAATAGATTTGGTTTTGTTTATTTTCTTAATTTATTAAATATCTTTATATTTTTCTTTATTTTCATTTATACTCCTTAATCTATTTTATTCCTTTTTTTTCAAGAAATAAAACTTTTTAAAAATGATATGGAAAGTTATGCAATTTAAGGAGATACGGTAATTAATATATGCACTAAAACTCAAATAAAGGCTCAAACCATATATTTTTAAAATCTTTTTTATTATCTTATATTTCATACATAAATTCATATTATCCTTTGCTTTCTTGAAAAACTTTATGATAATCATTCATTTAGTTTAACAATCCTAAATAACCATCACAATTGAGAAAGATAAATAAGAGAATATAATCATATATAAAGTTCAAAACGTGAATAACCATCACAATTGAGAAAGATAAATAAGAAAATATAATCATATATATAGTTTAAAACGGGAAGGCTTGATTCAAAATGATCTTTTAACATATAGTATATACTATATATAATATTGAAATAGTAATGCTAAGCGATGAAATTTGAAGTAATGATTTTGATAAGGATATCATTGTGATAATTAAATACTTTAATCGATTTCTAACCAAGTGCCTAATTAAAATAAAAATATACAAATGGAATGTAAATTTGAAAAGAATTATACTAAAATAAATCTTTACAATATGAAAAGCAAATTGGAAAATAAAATTAGGAAAACAAATTTATGTTCTTTTTTATCTAAAGAAATAAAATTTCATTATAGTCTTAAATTCCCTTTAAAGACAATCAAATAAAAAAGAAAAATGAAAGAAAAAAATTGCAAATATTGACAAAAAAAAAAATCCAAACAAATGTATCATATTCAATTTATTGATTAATTATAATAAACACACTATTATATAATGTGCAAATAATAATATAAAAAAAGCTTGTACATATAAAAAAAAAATTTTAAAGAGGCATATAACAGACCAAATAGGCACTTGTAATAGATTGAAAGAAAATCTCAAAGAAATAAATATTACTATGATAATAAACTTGAATAATAATGAAAAAGAAAGCAAGAAATAGAAAACGTGTAACACAAAAAAATAATAAATTAAAGTCGATAATCATTCACATATTTTTACCTTTGAAAATCATGAGTGCTACTATCTTCTCTTGCTTTTTTTCCTACATTTTTTAGACCTAATTTGCTCTTGAAATCATTTACTGTTGAGATTAAATATTACAGAGGTTTTAATCTTGGATGCATCTTAATTGCTCTCATTTATTTTTGCATGACTTGTTTATTTGTCTCTTAATCTTTAACCATTTAGTGATAATACATATTTTTATATCAAGATAAAAAAAATTTGTATAATTTTAAATTAAGATATGAATGTATTTTAAATTGAGATAAGATATTTTTTTATTTTAAATCATAAAAAAGAGATAAGAAAGTTAGTAAATCACAATTACTCAACCACAAATTCTAATTAATTTAAATTTATAAGGCTATTTTTGTATTAAATCTATAAAACTATTGATTTAGACTGTATATGAATTATATAGTTTCTAAGATTTAATGATTTAACTTTAAAAGTTATATTTGAATTTTGAAATATATAGATAAATGTAAGTTACGAAATTTGTTTTATCTTACTTAAATTTAGGATAACACTTATCTATATTGAAAGATTAGGATAATCTTAACTTTGAAATTTTAAAAATTAAATAATTGATAGAATAAAATTATTTGATAAATAATTAAAATTAAAAGAAAATTATCTTATTTATCATTTAAATAGAATGTACATGTAATTTAAGAAAATTTATCTAATTGTATATTTAAAATTATTCTATGTGTCATCACAATATATTATATATATAAAATTACACGTAAGTGGATCTTATCATATAATTTTGTATATTGTAATATAATATATACACATTTTCTATTTCTTTTTAAATTTAATTTTTTAAATATATAAAGGACATGTATTACTATTTTAATTTCATTTGGAGTTAAAAAACTTTAATGTTTGATAATTTCTCTCTCTCTCTCTCTCTATATATATATATATATTAGATATTTATATAATAAATGTTTTTTGCTTATAATAATCTATAGCATAATAACTTTCACTAAATATAATTAAAGCAATTAATGATTAAAAATTTGATTGCATTAACTTTTTTTTATTCTTTGATTTCAATAAATCAGTATTAAAATTTAAAAAATACAAGAAAATTAATTGCTTTAAAAAAATTAAAGAAATTGTCTCAATTTTTTACTAATAAGATATGCTACTCCCTTCACGAATAGGATTTCCTACCGCTATTCGATATAGGATTTCACTCTGCCGCCATCCTCATCATAATTTATAAATATTACTGTGAGTTCGAACATGAAATACCAACTTTGATTGTCTAACACAAAAGCTTTATCCTCGAGTTTCTCCAATGGCTTCTATTTTCAGGCAAAATTTATATTAAGATTTATAAATGAAGTCTTAGAAGTTTTTTTATTAAAAATGAGTAAATAAAAATTTTAATAAAAAATTTAAATCGATAAATTGATAAAATTTAATGTAACGATCAATAATATATAAAAAAATTAAAAAAATTATTTATAATTTAAATTTGATCGATAGTTATTTAATGATAAAAAATTTATCAATATTTTTATTAAAAATATCTATTTAATAAATATATCAAAAAATTTTTAAATTTTATATGCTTAATTTATAGGATAAAATCTTTTAATTTGATTTTTATTTTCAATTTTAATTTTTATTTACTTATTTTTAATAAAAAATTTTATTAATTTTACTTATAAAATTTCATGCACATGTTTTCCTCTATTTTCTACCAGTTTAATGGCTTATACCACGAAGTTTTTCAACCCAATATATACTACCAAAAACCCATTACCCCGCTTCTTGTTTCGTCCAAATTGAAGTAACCATCACCCTCAATCTCCTAATTATCCGCTATGATTGCTTAACCGGTCACTTCACCGAATCCAACAGCACTTTATCCTAAGAAACTCTTCGTTTCCATCTTTATCTTTTGAAAAAGCAAGATCAGGCTTACCAAATTCCTGGTCCCATGTTAATAAGACTTCGAATCAACCTAGTCTTATTTATTTTAAAGTTGTGATTGATGAGATTATTCGACATGGAGCTAGAATAGGAAACTGGGAGTTGAACAAGGGACATAGAGTATTGCCTTTATAAGCAAAGTTGTGGGGAATAGTTGTGGAACATGTAAAGAGGGTTTTGATAAGAAGAGCTTTGGAGGAATTAGCATTAGAGCGTAATTATGGCATGGTTTGAGCGACTGAGTCATCGGTTAAGAAAATACTAAACAGAGTTAGAATGGAAGATGGAGATCATCAATGTGAAAAGGTGAAAAAAGTATTAAGAAAAAGAAGGTGAAAGGTGAAGATTACGTTATATGTTTGGAGAAAATCAAGGTTGGATATCAGGCACTATTCGAATGCCTTGTTCTCATACTTTTCATAGTATCTATATAAAAAAATGGTTTAAGTAGAGCCACTATTGTCTTATTTGCAAACTTGAGAGAGTTAAGAGCTTTTTTTTTTTTTTTTATTTCTTATGAACGATTGTTCTACCTATTTATTTGGTCAACAAAGTTAACTTCCATATTCATTAAGTCAACATAAGTTCGATTGTCATGTCATTACAAATAAGGGTCGACATCTGGACTCTTTGTCATAACATAGGCTCGTTCAAGCCAAAAAGGGACTCACCTAACTACCTCCATTAACATCCCATCAAAACATCGCTTTATAGTAAACCAATTGACTTCTAACTTTTTTGGGATCATTAATTGTAATTCACGTTAGCTTGGAATCATTAAATGCAACCCACAATCACCTATGTGGCCCTCTCTAGAGCTCTACATAGACTTACCATCAATTACCAACTACCTATTATATTATTGTTATTCCTTTCATATATAAAGTAAAAAAAAAACCCCAAGTAT